ATTATCGTTAAACCCCAAAACAGAAAAAGACAAAGTGGAAAGAGAAACGCCCCCTAATGCGAAGAATTGCATATTTTAGAAGTGGTTTTGGGATAGATGGGGCCGGGACTCAGTATTAGTTAAGCTGGACTTTGTTGGCAGATTAAGCTTTTGTTCGTTATTGTTGTCTTCAGTGGGCTATGGAGAGCGCTTTACCTCTCCTCCATAGAGTCTGGTTCAACTTTGCAGAGTGGATAGGCGGATTAACGAGTTGTTTTGTGTTGCCGTTTGTGTCTGGCTTCACCCCTTCCCCCCCCCCTCCTATTTTGGAGAACTTCGTTTGGTTCGAACTTCAAAGGGACGCTGGACCCGGTTTCCAGGAGCCTAAACTGTGTAATGGCCCCAGCTGTTCTCGGGATTTTGTGCGGTGTCCCGGCTCCAGTTCTCTATTGATTCTAGTGATGAAATTCAAAAACACAAAAGAAGAAAGAACTGCATATTTTCTGACATCGGGAAAATTATTTGTCTTATGCACAAGGTGAGCGATTTGTGCGGACAAGCTAACAGATGTGAAAGTACTTGGGAGTCCGGACAGAATAGGCCGCTTTGCTAACCAACTGCACTGAGGCCACCACACCCCTCATCCTCATCCTCTTTTTTTTTTTCTTTTTTTTTTTTAATTTCAAAAGAACAGGCCCAGTGCTCAAGGCTGATATTACCAATGAAAACTGCTTGAGACCGGGGTCCTCACAGTCTACCCGGAGTGGACGAAACGAATTTGCTGAGAACCGGGCTCAGCGGCCCTCATATGTTTGATGCCTCATCCTCATCCTCATCCTCATCCTCTTTGCTTTTGCTTTTGTTTGAACTTTGAAGGAAAAAATAAATTGCTTTCTACGGGCGTAGCCGCAACCGCTAACGGCACTAAGCTAGTATGTATTCAATTTTATTTGTTTGATATTTGTTTTGACAATCGGCAGCCGCTCCAGCAATTTGATCCCAGTCTTGTCAGGTCCATACCTGCTGTTGTCATAGCTCTGAAGTGGTGAATGCAAAGTCGAAGATCAACTGGTGACTTTTCGCTCCAGCAAAAAAAATCATTCTTGCTACCAAGAACTCCACGGGAAGGAAAACGAACTGGCGACTTTCTGCTCAGGAAGCAATGTCTATCTGAGGGAATCGATCTGGCGACTTTCCATTTCCGAAGCGGATACTTGGACTTATCACAAAGCTGCAATTATGTCAAGCATTTAGTGTACAAAATATTATAAAAATCTAGGGAAGTATGCGAGAACGAAAGAGGAGGATCAACTGGTGAGCTCCATCTGAAGGAACGAAAGTTACGGAACTGTCGATCTTCTGCTTTTCAAGTTGTCGGTGTACCGCATGGGCAAGTTTGTTGGAAGGAAAGAGGAGGAGGAGTCAAGTGGAGGCCAATGAAATGGCAAAGTTTGGTAGAAGGAAAGAGGTTGGCTGTCTGTGGAGTGTCTGAGTGGACACACTGAACCAAGAAGACGGACATTTGACAAATAGGTAGGTTAAGTCTGTCATCGGATCGGAACAGAAGAGAGGAAAAAGCGGTGTGGTGTGTGCCAATCTTCATATGGAAGGAATCAGGACATCACTCCGGCGAGGATTTTTTTGCTTGGTTAATGGATGTAATTGCGGTCAGATACACCGAGGTCCAAACATCAATGCAGTCAGATACATTTAAAATAGAGCTAATGTGAGTACACAGTACTACACACTCTTAAACTAGCAAATTTTGATGCAATCTGCTAAGTTTGACAGAACGGAAGAAGAGGATGAAGTGCTTCGCCATCTGTTCCCAGGAATTAGAGATAGAACGACCTTTTTACTTACCGTTTGCTATGGACGTAATTGCTGTCAGATACATCCAGGTCTGGCTGTAAATGTCGTTGGATACATTTAAGATGGAGCCAGCCAGTGAGTCTAGTGTGAGTACGCTCTAAATTTAGTAACTTTTTTTTTTTTTTTTTTTTTTTCCGTATCTTTTTCTTCTCTCAACTTCTGTTTTTGTTTACCTTCCATTACCTACTCCTAAGACTATCTAGAGGGGACCCCTGCAAGCATAGTTTTCCTCTCTTTGTGACCCAATCTGCTAAGTTTTTTTTTTTTTGGACAATCTGCGAAGTTTCCAAGGACAGAAGAGGTGGCTTAAATAATTCGCCGTCCCTCTGGCCAGGAAGTTGGGGATCCAAGGGGATAAAGTGTGGTAGTCCGTTCGCAGAAGGAGCAGAAAAAGAAAAAGAAAAAGAAAATTTGTGTTATTGTTGGCGAGAAACTTGGAAAAATCAAGCAGTTCCATTAAAAAAAATAAAAAAAATCAAGCAGTCTATCTACCTTTATCAGAAAGCTAGCGAATCACTAGACCAGAGGACAACACCAGAGTATATATAACTTGTGCCACATAGCTGCTCACCAAACTCGCAACGGCTGCAGTAGACTAGGTGCATTCTTTCTCAAGGTGCTGCTTGTCGTCATCATCTAACCATTACGGGTGGAAGAGGTAAAAGGAGGAAATCCATGTCGTTGGTAGCCTTTGTCATGCTGACCTTCACCATCATGATCCTTGGTGCGACTCCTCGACTGGCGCATGGAAGGAAACATTACGGTCGGAGAGAAGGTGTCGTGACAGAGACGTATGCTGCTGCAAATGCCTCAGCTGATAGTTCGAATGGCTCGTTAGCTTATGCGGAGGGGGGGATGAACATGTCCATGAATGCGACATCCCAGGAGAAAGGAGGCGAGAGTGGATACGTGGGGATCTCAGCATCGCAGACCGTATGGGACCCAAGCTCCGCAGAGGCAGGTGCATCGGCCAACGAGAAGAAGACACGTGTCTATGCTGGAGGCTCGTCGGCTGATCCAGAAGTGAAGGAGGGCGGCGACCTGCTCAAAGTCATGAAAGCCGTTCGTGCCAGACAGATGAATAACAGCACCGCCAATTCAAACGGAAGGCTCCAGATTGATGGTGTAGGTACTGCTGAGGAGGAGGGGGAGGAGGAGGAGGCGGAGGAAGAGAAGGAGAAGAAGAGAATGACGAAGACGACGAAGAAGAAAAAGGTTAGAAAGGAGCATTTTTGGACTACGGCCAACAGAGCAGCAGGGAATCGAAATGCCACAGGCCGGGCCGATGTTGTAGGGGTTCAAAACCATGGTGTGAAAATTAGGCAATAGGGGGTTGTAGCAGCCACAGAGGCAAGAACAGGAGTGTTTCACCCATGCTATGCAGAGGCTGCAGAGCAGCCAGACAGAAAAAAAGGGGCGTATCAGAGACTTGCAAAGTGCCTCAACCTGCGTAAACCTGCGACTTCCACGACTTTAACTCAGTCTAATTTTCACTTAATGAGAAAGCAAAGCAGATTTAGAAACCCTGGGACAATTAGAGATACAGAAGGGCCAGTAGGCAAGCAGCTGAAGACCACTGGGCAGGGGGTGGAGGACCCCGCCACTGCAGTACATTTGAGATAGAAGTTTGGTCTCTGTCCACCTCAGACTCTGTGCCTCTGAGGTGAATGGCCAGTTAATCCCCTCGTTCGTCAAAGGGCAATCAATGCTAACCATGACATACAAAGTTACACCTGGCCCCTATCTGCTTCTACTTCTACTTGTAAATGGGACGCTGGACCCGGTTTCCAGCTGGTGCAGCTCCCCACCAATAGATCGGAGCCTCGGGTAGGCTTCCGATCTTTTAGGAGGCCTACTCTTGGAGGACGGTCGTATCGCCTCAGATAATAGGTTTCCACAGGATGTTACACGAGAACAACTTTAAAAAAAAAAAAAAAAAAAAAAAAAGAAAACACTTAAAACCACTAGTACCATGACGGTTGAGAAAACAGGGAGGGCCTCCGATCTTTTTTAGGAGGCCGAAACGAAACGACAGCCGCCGATGAAATTTATCAACAACGACAACAACAACAACATAAAAAAAAAAAGAGAAAAGAAAAGAAAAAAAGACCACTTTGCCACAGAAGATGTCAGCTAATGGAGAATTCAAGTGCATTTAGGAACAGTTAGCGCCAAACTTAGCGGTATACACAACACAAGCAGACGAGCAGCAGGCGACCACTTTCTGATACAAGGGTTGGCTGCAAACAAACATGGTTCATAATTCTTTGTCCATTTGAGTAGAGCTGGAATGCACTCAAGGACAGGAAATAATTTTATTTAAGTGCTTCATGCCCACCATCAAAGCCGTCACACCGACTTCTCCAAAGGCCTCAAAATAATGGAACAGTGACGGGACGGGAGCAACCAATGACCGAGTTTATGGACGTTAGTCATGGCCTGATGGAAGTTGAAGGAGATAATTGTCCGGGAGACGGACCCCTCCCACCCCTCCGAGCCGCACTTGAAGACTTCCTGGTGTTAGAACTCGAGTACACCTCGTCTGAGTTTTTCCACATTGATGACAGGGTCGGATAGAGAGTCAGCGAAAACGTCGAGACGGCGTACAAAGTGCGGACAGTGCATAAGAGGTGACTTTGGTGCGATAGTGGAGACTCCACAGATGTGTGTCACTGAGAACGTCCCTGAAACACCAGAGAATGACACGGAAGCTGCATCTGAACCCCACATAGCTCAAAGGGGATTAACAAAAAAAAAAGGGTAGGCCACTGCCTCCTTGTTGACCCGGGTTGTGAGGGCTTTGCACACTTGGACCAGCCCTGGGAAGGGAAAGAGAGGGAGGTGGGGGCGGAGGCGGGGGGGCACGGCGGTATAGGTTGCACATGCGAGCAAAGAGGAGGTCCAAAATGATATGAACCCTATGATGAGCCCTGGCCTGTACCTCGCCAAAACACGTATCCCTGGTTCGGAAACACATCACAGGGCCATCATGTTTCAGTGAGAAAGTTCTCTTCGTGGACTATCTGAGGCACCAGGTCAGTCCTTGTAATTGCATGCATGGCTAGGTGTTGCATACTGTAACGTGCAGACCAGAACAAGAACCGACCTTTCAATACAAAGTACGAGATAACACAGCGGAAGACTTAGATACCAGTGATCCGAACAATCAACAGTGGAAGACTTAGATACCAGTGATCCGAACAATCAATGTTGTAATGCAGCCCTGAAAATACATCATCATCATCGTTACAAGGTGTGAATGGGTCTGGCGCTTCACACAGGAAGACAGCGCCAGCCCATTCCATACACAGACGAAGAGGAAGGGGATAGACGAAGAGGAGGGGGAAGATGGGAATGTCGTCAACACCAAGTCTTCGGCACAAGCCCAAATAGTCCCTCGTCGAACTGTCTGAATCCCAAATGTCAAGTCTGGATCCAATGTCGTCAAGTCTCAAGTCGCAACTCTGTCTCTCTCTGTCGTAGTCTGAGAAGTCAGGTGGCGAGAGGGTGAGAAGAGAAGGTGGACTTAGAAGAGGAAGAAGAAGAACTCTCTCTCTCTGTGTCCAGTACTCACCTGTGAAGTTGGCGCCTTGATGCAGGCACCACGAAGATGGAGCTGGAGCGATGGCGCCACAGGTAAGTAACCTTGGCCTCCGCCAGTCTCTCTCCCACTCTGCGATCTACCATCTACCAGCGCCCAGCGCCGAAGACTACAGCTAGCGCTACTACTACTTAGCGCTGGAGACGACTGCAGCGCTCCTCCTGAGTGCTGCGGCCGAATCCTGAAGACTACCCTTGCCTACTGACACTACCTACCCGTGAAGTGCCTGGGAACTTCCTATGTACTACGGGTGTGCCTCCTGAGCCTGCCGAAGGGAGGCAGGGGCTGCAGCTGCAGCTCCTGCTCAAACTCGTGAGGAACAGGCTATTTCTGGCCTGTTCCGCATCCCTGTTTACGTGCCTGAGTCTTAGGGGCAGGTCGAAACAATGAGGGCCTGAAAATGGCCCTCCGTTTCAGGCTGAAAACTCTGGGTCTGAAAAGACCCAGAAATAGGCTGAAACGGGGTAGGGCCTGCAGGCCCTCGTTTTTCAGCATCCAGGC